TTTTTACTATATTTTAATATATATATATATATATATATATATATTATTGAAATAAGCGGTATTAAAAACATCAAAGCAATATTGATTGTCAGTAATCGTCTTTTACGCTTTCCCCATTTCCTCGAGCAATCAGTTAAGTTTCAATACTTTTATTATCGCTTTCCATAATTGATGATTAATGTAAGATTTTAATAAATTTTTGATAACTTTTTTTCAATTTAAATATTAATTAGCACCTTCTTGTATGCATATGTTTTTAACTTATTTTCTGACGAAATTTCTAAACATATATATTAAAGGTGGTCATATTATATATCACAGTTATAGTTAGGAACAGCCTTTATTTACATTATTATTGCCTTCGTAACATTTATTTACATCAATAAACCCTTTACTTACACATCATTACTCCCTTTATTCACATTATTTTTGTTATAGATGGCTGTAATATTTGCAGAATTTTAAATGCTTCATTTTACTGGTATTATACTAGAAACAAATTTTGTAAAGTCTTTACAGTTTTTTCTATAAAATATAGACTTCTATTAAATGTTCACATTTGTATTTAAAAGTATGAGAGGAGAAACTAGGGTATCTAAAATTTATTAATATAAAAAACAAGAATTTATTTGATGTGAGATGTTAGACATCGATGTTTATCAAGCATCATTGGCGTAATAGACAAATAATAAAAATTGGATGTTTTGAAGAACAGGAAGAAAATTAAGAACAAAATTATTTTTTAAGAAGCGTTTTTAAGCATAATTGAAGGAGATTTGAAGTTAAGAAAAAAAAGTGATTATTCTAAAGATATAACTATTAATAAATTTTGTATGACTTTACGTACATAAAGCACTTACTACTTGTTACAAAACCCAGCATTATTAGTAGCCATGGCAACAGCGATTTCATCATTGTTCTTCTAGAAAAATAATATACTGAAAGAAAAAAAAAGAAACTTTTAATGTGAACTATATAATATTCCAGTGGGAATCTGCAAGGGGCGTAGTGTGGAAATCTCGATTCTGATTGGTCGCGGCATTTGCTTACGTTAGCAATTGTTCTTTCCATTCTATTTCGAGAAGTCCAGCCCGTCAAATATGAATTCTCTAAAGTGATACATTCTATATTCTTTAAAAGTTTAAATTCTTTCATTGTATATATTTTTTACTTAATACAAAGACTAGCATGAAGCTATGTAGAATATAAACAAACTAATTGTGTATAATCGATGGTTAACTTTCATGCCATCATTTACATGCTTTTGTAAAGTTTTGCATTACATAGTTTAACACTTAGTTTGCTTTAAAGTTAAAGAAAAAACTTATTCTTAAAATAATTTCTTCATAAATTTTTACGTTTCAAACACTTATTCTCAAAACTCACCTTTTTGAATTGAAATATATTTAATACTAGCTGGAAAAAGTTCCCCGTACTTAGTAAATAAAAAAAAGAAAAGAATCAATAAATCAGTACTGAACGACATTACGAAATCATGCAAAAAACTGAAAGGCAATTACCAACAGAATATAATAAAGCTAAAATAATTTCTTTTCTTTTTTTTAAATTTATTATTATTTGTTGCCTTTTTCGGTAGCTTTGCGTGACTAAATTAAACAAAACACTTTTTTTTTAGTTCATCCTATCAGAATGGATATTAACTGTATTCAGCATCACCTGGTATGATACTATTGTTCGTGGCCAACTCATGATAGTCAATTTACCATTATCACAAAATTTTCTCCTTTCCATTATTTCTCTCTCCCTTTCAAGGGGCCGTAAGATACTTATTTAAACAGCACCAGTATTAAAACTGCTCAACGTATTGGTGCAGTTTTCATAATTACCGTCGATTTCAAATTATTTACTTTTACAAAAGCGCATTTTAGAAAAATTACAATAAATAAAATAAAGACGTGGTTTCAGATAACTTTAGAGATAGTAATTTGGGGGCCTAGTCTTCACATGCTACCACGTTAACTTTATTTATTGATTGCATACACAGCGAATAAAAATATTTGAATATTAAAGTGCTTGCAATAACTTTTTTTGATCAAATAGAGCTATAAGCTAGCAATTATAGCAGATGTTATCTTTAAAATATTCGATGAAATAAAATCGTCTGTAGTTTAATTTAAAACAATGGCTAACGTTTAACCAATCAAATTTCATTTCACTCATCCCGCTCGAACGGTTCGTAGTAAAGAAGTTCTGATTTCGACAGTGACCGTCCCCGTGCTCTGAACTATCAGTATGCCAAATTTCATCACTCGCGGTCTGATGGCTTAAAAGATAGAAAACAGGCATTCATTATATAGGTCTAGATTTATATTTTTGAATTGAAATGAAGATTTTTAAGCATTATTAAAAATTTTTAAACTTTATTAAAAGTCTAAAAAATATAGAAAACAGGCATTCATTATATAGGTCTAGATTTATATTTTTGAATTGAAATGGAGATTTTTAAAATTTTTTAAACATTATTAAAAGTCTATAAAAGATAGAAAACAGGCATTCATTATATAGGTCTAGATTTATATTTTTGAATTGAAATGAAGATTTTTAAACATTATCTCAAACAGTATTTAATGGTTGGTTAACTTCATCAATTAAATTTTATTTTGTTTTTATTTTATTTCCACAAAACTAACTTCAGTTCTAGATTCCAAATTAAAAGTTTGGAACCTAGGGGGAAAAATAAATAAAAAAATTCTGAATTGAGTGATTATTTTCTGATTTCACGGAAATGTTTAAAAACGGTTATTGATTTTGTTATTCAATAACTCAATTTACATAATTTATTAGAAATCGCAAATATTCCTTAACAGAATAAATAAAATACGTTTGATTTTTAAACTTTTTCGAATTAACCTAGAAAATAATTTATTTAAATTGTAAACATTCATTAACAAAAGAAATAAAATACTCTTAATTTTTAAACAGTTTCTAATCTAATTAACCTAGTAAATATACTGTTCTAGAATAATCTGAATTTATTGTTCAGAGTTTTAGGCTTTCTTTTGTTAGTCTACAATATTGTTAATTACAAAATACACAATAGGAATTAAGTTCATTCTATATCTAAAGAATCATTTTATTTTTAGAAATTTTAAAAGGTCAAAATAATTAATCAGCTTAACTTCTGTAATCACGTAAAGTAGAAAAATAAATTTCGCATTGATTTTTTATTTAATTAAAAAGGTTTAAACTCTAATCGATAACCTAAACCGGAGACTAATTTACAATCCAGGGGCATTTAACAACTCGCTCTCTTTTTAGAAGATTTTAATCATTGTTGTAGTTGGTCCCAATTATAAAAGAAGCTTTATTTCTTTTAAAATAAAAGAAGTAAAACATTAAAAAAATCTCGGCGCAACTCTAGTGCAATTTTAATAATGCGATATATAGTCAGGAAATATCAATATTTCGCAATATTTTAGGTGAACTAATTTACGTTATTTTTATTATATTTTCATAACCAAATAAAATTTATCAACACCCAGAAAAATATTTTATTCGACAATTTTAAAAAACCATATTTATCTCCGTTATATTATTGTCTTCCATATAAATCGTTGTTGATAATGATAATTTGCAATTTACAAAGATCTTTTATAGTTTAGAACATTATCGCATTGGAAATTCATCATAATCTAAGGTTATCATAGATACGATATTTATCGTGATAATCAATATTATCACGACATATGTTGGTATTATCGTGACATTAAAAAAAAAAAAAAAGCCTACATTTCATGAAATATCGTTTAGTCATTCTCAACCTATATTATCTTAAAGCAAGATTTTACTTACCAAATATTCTATAACCATTCCTATTCATTTCAAATTTAGAAATAGGAACTAAAGTTGAAACATGGCACGTTTCTTGAAAAGGTCAATCGCCAATATGGCCAAGAAAATAGAAGAAATAACTCCAGAGCTGACTTTATGTTCAAATATACAAAGCATTTTTCTCAAATGATATGCTAATAATATTTTATCATGGCAAACAAATAATTCTAAACTGCAGGAACCCGTTGGGTCACTCATTGTTTTCAAGAACTTTTTTTCAGATACATTTTGTTTCACTTCCTAACACCGAAAAATTTACCTTTTGTCCGAAAAGTTCCATATTTATAACGCTACTATGCTGAGTCCTTGCCAATGCAATTCAATTTTCTTTTCTTTGAGTTATTTTACTATCAAGGAAAACGTTTTATAGGAAGGTGAATTTTTTATTTAAAATATATATATTTTTTGTGTATTTGTATAGTTCATAAATTTTTATTGTTATTTTCAGTACTTATATCTTAATTAATAAGATACAATGAAAATTCTTCACTTTCTCATTCACGTTAACATATTTTTTAATAAAGAGAATTTTCTTTTATGCAGACGATATGTAGATTAAACTAAATTTATAATTTTCACCCATCTATTTACTTGAATATCGTCAGTATGAAAAAAAAAGTAGAAAATAGGAATAGAAACAAAAAATAAATAGGAACAATTTAATAAAGTTTATATTTCAGACTGCAGTACTAATTTTGTATACATACCGTTTTAATTATAAAATTACAAGTCCTGTTTGTTGCGTTATTTCTTAACAATGTACTTTAAGAATTAATACAATAATATTTAAATCTTTTATTTTGATTTTCGCAAAATTTTTCAACTAGTCGTTAAGTTTTTACTCAGCCTGTAAAAACATGATAGGTCACACAGCTTACTGATTGTAAGACACGGTTCCCAGTAAAGCAAATAAATCAAGCATCAAAAGGGCCAACCTACGAAGGGACCGAGGGTGGGCAGTATTGGTCCTCGTTAAACTATTCTACCGTAAAGTGCTCGAGTTCGAGCATTTTACGATTTTCAGGTTACCAAAACAGGGAATTCATTCGCTCCACAGTGTAATGGCATGTCTTTGGATCATCCTCAGGGATGCTTCCCAGACCGTCGCTAATAATCCATTGGGTAACTCCAGGCAGTTTATAGTTTGTCTACAGTAAGAACTTTCCTCGACGCAAAGTCTAAGACATTCTGCAGCTATGGAAACGAGAAAAGCGCATTTCAGGGAGGGGAGCTTCAGTAATAAATTATATAGGAAGGTAACCAGATTGGTTAACTCAGCCGACAGTAGGAGACTTATTTAATATGATTCGAGAACTGAGATGCCTAATAGGTAGCTCTTAATTAATNCAGGGAGGTGAGCTTCAATAATAAATTATATAGGAAGGTAACCAGATTGGTTAACTCAGCCGACAGTAGGAGACTTATTTAATATGATTCAAGAACTGAAATGCCTAATTGGTAGCAATTTTTTAAATGCAAAAAAAAAAAATGAACTTATTCTAATATTAAGTGTAATGCAGGCTTTTTTTTAAAGTTACTTTTTAATTTTACGCTAGTTTCTCACTATTCACGCTATTTATTATGAATGTCAATAATTTTCAAATGGTATAATTTCTAAACTTACACCGTTTTTTTAAAGCAGCGAAATTTTTTTTTATAAGTAGAATTTTCTAGTAAACGAGAAATGCTTAAGCTTATCAACTTTAAAAGGTGATAAAAGTTACGTTAAAGATAGAAACAGTTCAAGCTATCTATACCGGAGAAATTTTCAACGATTTAACCGATTCATCAGAATTTTTTTATGACTCTTTGTTAATGATGTTGTGTATTCTTATATGCAGATATTCCTATCGATAATATTTAGTTTCAATAACTTATTTGGCTATAATAAATGTTAACAAACTGCGTCTTCTTTTTTTTTTTTTCTTCCTTCCTTTAAAGAATTTTTTTTCGGGGGGGGGGTCATGTTTTTATTTTATTTATAATTTTTTTGTCGAAAATAATATGTAAAATAAACAAATAAAAAATAACTAAGTAATGAGCTGTAACGTATTTTATTTTTTTCGAAAAGTAGAAAGAAAGTTATCACTAGGATGAAATCCAAAACTATCAAGATGATTTTTTATCAACACCCATGAAACCATCTGAAGTTAATTAAATTTTTAATTACTTTTTCTTATTTTTATTTTAATGTAGCCTGTATGGTTTTCCTTCCCATTTATTAAAAAATAAATCATAACTACTTTTATTAGCAAATTTTTTTCTTCTTTTTTTCTTACAAATAAATTTACAATGTGTTATATATTAATTGAGCATTTATTAATAAAATGTATACATCGAACTGCTTTAAACAATTTTTTTAAAATTTGCTCATTGTGACGGCTGATAGAGAAGAAATTTAAGGGCCTTTCCCTTAGCTTCATCAGCAAACAATTCATACACATTGCGCATACTTTTACGTGCTTGTGATTTTAAAAGTTTCATCTTTATTAAATTTAAAAAGCATCTTTAAAAATTCAAAAAATAATAATAAATAAATACATAAAAGATGAAAAATATTAAAAAAAAACTTAGAGTAAAATAATTTTTTTGAAAAACTTTTCAGAAACAAAAACTTTTGAAAAAGTGAAAAGATAAAAAAAAAAAAAAATCAAACGCTCNAAAAAAAAAAGGAATCAAACGCTCTAAACAATGTTTCAGGTGCGAATGCTCATATCATAATGCTCATATCATAATGCTCATACACAATAGACAAAAGAAAAAGATTCCCTTTCTCTGGCCCACCCAAGCCAAAATCTGTCCAAAACAGTCACTTTAAATAGACATAACCATAGCCACCTCCATGGGTCCAGACGAATGGCTAGGGGAGTTCTTACTTTGGACAAATTATAAATAAAGTATTACTACTACAAATCACGTTTGACTGATTATTCATAGATGGATCAGGAATAAGATTTACACTTTTAAAAATATGAGATACCTCACCTACATAGTAAAAGAAAAGTCCTGCAACAGAAACCAGACAACGGAGATTGGCAACAACATTTGCTTTATTAAAAAAAGTTTTTATACACTGAAACCTATTCAAGTAATGACACGGCAGTTCATTTTCCAACACTTGGTCCCAATCTTTTATTTGACACCCTATCATTTTCCACTCTTTACTTTCATCTCAAATAACGTTTCCAGTCTCTTTTTTTTTTTCTTCTTAAATATCTATACATTTCATTTGACATTATTTATATATAATTTGCTTTGCTCTATCTAGAGTGAATTTCACATTGCCGAATCTGAACTCTTAAAATTCCACCAAATAAATTAAGGAATAGCAATATAAAAATATAATCTCTATAAATGACAAGACTAATTCGTTCAGATTATAAAAAATGTCAATATTAATCATCAGTCCATAAATTAAGTAACTAACATATTGCACATAGTCGTCTAAATAAACACAATTCCACATACAAATATATATATTGAAACACATCTATAATAAATATACAGAAAATAAAAGCAAAAAAGCTGCCAACATAATTAATATTGCAACAGTTCAGATTGAAGGAAAAACACATGTAAACAAATATAAGTAATATCAGTACTATAAATTAAGTATTTGTTCCATGTTTACATAGTGTAAATGAAATCCTAAAAACACCACACCACATGAAAGTTACACAGCACTGTAAATTCAGAATATTTGTAGACAAAATTTGGAATTAGAAATTTTTCTATTTAGTACTTTGATAAAGAAAAAAAATTTTTTTTTTAATAATTTAATTAAGTAAATTTTTAAACTTTTCATTTGAAACACATTATCCATATGTAGGAAAAACATAGTTTTATGTATTTAAAAAACACAAATCAATATGACACTAAAACAGGTTTTCCTTTGACAAAAATATATGTTATACTAATAATTTTTAATTAACTAATTTTCCAAATTTTACGTAACATACTGCAAATTGGTTTTTAAAGTTTTTACTTCTCTTTAAAATGTGATTATTAAGAAAAAAATTGAAAGACTCAAAATTTAAAAATTTGTTAAAATCATACATTTTTAATTGATAAATATTTTTTTAAAAATATTTAATTTATGCTTTAATTTTTAAATTTCCATCTGCTTTTCATTTTTTAGTTAAATTTTAAAACTATATTTAAATTAAAAAATAAAATATAATTTTAAATAAATAAAAAAATTATTTCAGTCAATTCTTTTGAGCCTTGTGCTTCTTTTTAAATAGAATCAAATGATGAGTAAACAGACTCAGAATTCACTCATATAATAAATAAATAATCAAGGCATCAATCTGCACTCAGTTTACATATCAATAGCTAAAAAAAATTAAATAAAATAGGTCCACACCTGTGACCTACTAGACAGAAGAAGTTAAAGTTATCATAGAATGTTACATGCAAGTTTAATATTGTTTAGGAGTCCTAAAAAGTGATGTAGTTAATATCCAGTCTAATTTAATACGACAATTAAATTGAGATAAGACAATATGACTTAGATTTTTCAGTGCTTAATACAATGAATCTGTGGTATTAAAATTTTCAATAACTAATATGCTGAAAATGTGGTGTTATTATACTGTACAATAATTAGATATTCACATCATAAAGAAATGCTATTTCTTTTAAGCAGTAAACAGAGAATAGGAAATAAACAACAAACACTTATAAAATTTATTTCATTTAATAAATAGTTGAAATGAGTAAAATAATATGTTTTGCAATCTTCTCTCTAAAAATCTCTCAAGCATTTAATATTTGAAACTAACATTTCTTAATTAATTCTTAATTATTAAGAATTATACATATCCCCTGATATTTTTTTCCAAAATGAATTCATAATAACTAATTATATATTTTAGAAAGAAAATGTGTTACAATTATTAAAAAATAAATAAAAAACTTCAAAGCAAAAAATTTAAAATTTTTTTTAGTAAAACAGAATTCATACATATTTGTAGTATTGTTGAGTAATATATTAATTAAAATCCAACTAGAGTTTTTAATTCAAAATTTAATAAAAATTATTTTGTTTAATTAGTAATTCTAATAATGTAATAAATGCAGATTAACAAATAAATGCAATATACAAAAAGAAATGCAAGATAACTAAAATGTTATTAAAAGCTTAAAAAATTAAGGAAAAGCAGTGTTTTAAAAAATCCACATAAGAATATATTAAGTTAAATTCCGAAAAATATAATTAGCAC